GTCGGATATTTAGTGGCTGTCTAGGGTAAAGTGCAAATTAATAAACCAACAACAACAAAAACACCTCAGGGTATTATAAGCGGGCGCTATAGATCATAACGCCCGCTGGGCTCCCTCAGGTTGTTATAGGTATGTTAACGTATTTCGTTTCCTAGGTATTATGGATCTATAATAGTTAAATAGAAAATAAATATCTTTCAAGGATTCCAATTGATTTTTGGCTGTTGAATAATCCTTAATAATGTCTAAATGTTTTTCAGAAATTTCTTGTATTATTATAGATTGTGCTTTAGCATCTGACCTTTTAAATTTTATTCTTTCATCCTGTGGTGCAGTCTGTAGCGGTGGATCCTTCTCGATTGCTTCGATACAATTTTCTCTGTTTAATATGCCCTAAACTGATAATTATTTAAATTCTCAGCGGTTAACACAGGAACGCTTTGCAATCCCACTGCGGACATGAACTTACGGGACTGCCCGTTTTTCCACTTGAGATTTTATTCATTATTCCTTGATTAATCGCACAATATGCACTCTGGCCACTGGGCCCATAACCTTTTGAATAATATGGGACGGTTAATTAAATACTTCTGGAAATGTATGGATAGGTAACTATTTAATAAAGACTCAAGCAAAAGAGAATAAAATTGACTATGACAAACTAGAACAATTAAAGATAAATTATATTTGCTATGTGGCAAATGCACAGGAAATTATGAACACAATGTTCCTACATTATATCTAACAATCTAACAGGCTCCACATCAGGTGTAGGGAGTGCCCCGAGTAGTGCTTACCTCAATAGACTCAGTGCTGTCTCTGCTGTCCTCGTGGCAAGCATCTTACACATACATCGAGATATTGTGTCGTTGACTCCCATTCTCGTTAGTGCTCTCCTAATGGTCAGATGAGATGTGTTGTCAAAGACACCAGCATAATGCGACTTTTTCCTCGTCTAGAGCTTGTTGTATCATGCTTGTCAATTGAAACAGAGATGTCTCAGTGGACCTGCTTACTCTGTTGTCGTTATCTTACTCATCTTTCTTCAGTTTTTAGAATCTCATCTATTTTCACTCCGATGGATGCAAAATTTGAAATTCCTTGACATATTCCTCCTAACCACCTAAAACTTATTTATTTCTAAAACAATTTCTGTTAAAATTTCAGTCACGTGAATTTCCATAGTTTGTTGATCATTGGTTTCACTTTTATCAAGTTACTTTTTAATTATAGAATAATCATTATTTCTTCTATCGCAATCGCTGGACACAATATTACAATAAACCTACTGAATATAAATCGAACACCCCCGACACAATTTCTCAACACACGACCATATTTCATACCATACAAGTCCAGTCACAATTTATCATATCATTCATTCCTCCTACCGTGCGCATCTTGCGATATCGATTTGGACATGATCGATATTTTTTCGAATTTACAATTCAAAACCATAGATCATCGGCATACGTAATGACTTTACAAAGACATGGACAAATTGGCAATCGTAACCGTGCAGACATTACCAGAACTGTGTGTACTGGTTAATTGTTATTTGCGGAGGGCGTAAAGTGAATCGATAAAGTTTGACATTTAAGTAACCACCTTCACTTCCTTCCGCCTAATCTGTGTGAAGGTTAGGATACTATTGCATCTTTGACAAAATTGTTTTGCCACCTATGGTTACCAGCCCACATGGAACTAGGGTGATGGTCCATCAGTTATGTGTTGAAATGAAAGGATGCATGAATCATTGCCACATTTTATTATTTTCTAGCAAAGATTGAAGTACTATGGCCAATTACATCACGTAACAAGTTATACTCTCTCTGTATTTTTATGTGGAAGATGCTCATTTTCAAAGTAATAATTCAAGCCCATATATAAATTTATTCCATTGTCTCCGTGTAATATCGTTATTTCTACAAGCTGATGATATTAGCTATTGTGAAACTCGTATTTATTGTGCATTTTCTCGGGTTTTTATACTGTTGCACGCACGATCCAATCGTGTTGGCTTTTCACTGGGAGCGTCAATGGCAACCAATAATATATTGGAATTTTTATTTGAATATTACTAAAGATTGGTTTTAATAGCTTGTAAGTTATCACTACATGCTTTATAAAAAAAGGGTAATTAAAATTTATTTTAATATTATACAATATCTTTGTAAAATGTATTACATTTTTTATTAAGATCAGTTATAAATGCAAAATAAACAATTATACCAATAAATTATTTGTTTTATGGAGGACCTCCATGGAAAGTTATACATTAAAAATCAATAAAGCAATATTTTATTAATACACAAACCCGCCCTATTACGACTTGCTTGCTCCTCAGTCGATTTTTTTTTAATCCGTATATTTTGGTGGGCTCAACGTGTATTATCTTCTTGGGTGATCGATCAAACAAATTGCTGCTTATTTGCATAAACGGCGTGAAAAGACTGCCAATTTCCGGTTGATTTTTGTTTTAAACCGCTGCTGAAATACTAAATTAATTTCCGCCCCACTATAAACAAAATCTGTAGACCTAAAGAAAAGATTTGAATATAGATGACAAATAAATTTGTAATTAAGAGAAAAAAAGAAAAAAAATTATAAAAGGCAAATTATTACTAGAGTTAATGCCATTTTTTAGCTATACATCTATACGTCACCGAGAACTGTTCGGGATTTGTCTAGGATATCTCATTTTCCTAGAATAGTTTTCACTTTTTGGGAGTAAAGTCAACCCCTTTTGTTAATGAATTAACGAGAGGCCCATAATATGCTCGGTTTGCTCAGCGAATAATTATTAGGGGTGGTTTAATAGTTTGATCAGTACAGAATGGCAAGGGCGCCACTGAATTTTTTTTAAAATTTTATTTAATTAATAATAAAATTAAAGAGCTGGAGTAAAACACACAGTCTATCTTCACTCTTTATTTTACAAAAATAATCAGTTGGAAGGGGGATTGTACATGTTTCGGATCTATCTTCTACAAGTTACAAAAATATGGGAGTTATGGGGAGGGCCTGGGGTGTATACATCAAAAACTTACCAAATGGCATAGGGAAAATATGGTCATATACGACATGCCTAAGTATAATAATTATACATAAAAATATAAGTGTTCATGCTGTTATCAGCATAAAGTTGGTGGCTAAAGCCGCATCCAACACAGAACATATTTACAAAACTGGAATAGAGGAAGCTTATGAGTACGATTTCAAAAATTACGTCAAAGTTTCAACTTACCAAAGGTGAAGATTGAATAAATTATTTTATTAACATTAGAAAATAGGACTGCCATTCCAGTTCTTTAACTATTCTCTTCACTGTGAGACATGGACTACTATTCCAAAAAATAATTAAATTGCTTAAAATATGGAAGGGTGAAAATTCAGAAACACACCTAGAAAATAATCAGCAAACGGTAATTGGTAAGATAAGGGACTAGAATTGTCGTCAAATGTGGGGTACAAGTATCGACTTGTGAGGGTCTTGATTCTTGTAGGGTAGAAATCCCTTCAAAAGCTTTATGCTACACTCTACGGAAATGGTGTTATTATTGAAAATGTGGCCTTTTTGAAATGGACTTGTTGAGAGAAACGGCTCTCCGACAGACCCTAAGTAATAAGGCATTCCATGAACAACCATTACTTTTAAAAAAATTAAAGAAACTTACCACGAGTGGGATCGAAATTCAAACCTGAATACAACGGTAATCACAAGACTTTCCATTTAAATTTTCTCGGTAATCAATGGATTATTGCTCTACGCAACTTTATTTCGTTACGATAATGCCTGAAGGCCGATAAGGTACTTTTCTCCACGAGAACGATAATTCACTTAGGAAGATGACTGCCTCCCTAAGCCACAGTCGAGCTCTCAGGGCAACGACCAGATAAGAAAAGGGCTCTTCAATTTTCTATTCCAGAATAAATAGATATCACTTGACATATATGAAGGACAACCTATCAACCTCTCAACTCTCAGCTATGTGAAAAGTACTACGTTCGGAAACTATTAACGAGGTTAAAGAGCAACAAATTACTACGTCGAGTAGGGCAAGGTAGTACAAAAAAAAGTGCCTACTCCCTTTTCGAGGTCATCGATAAAATAATTAATTCAGCCGGCAATGGATGCCGCCATATGGCTGAATAATTATATGAAATTCTAAAATGTGTAAATTATTTACATAAAAAAAGCAAGTGACATTTGCAATGTTACAATTTTTCCAGTATAAAAATTGAAAATGTCGACTTGTTCCTGATGTTCTTCATAATACACCATTCTCCAAATGATGAACTCTTTTTCGAACCGTTCTACTCCTGGATAAAATGGCATATGAGCTCCAGACAGGCCGTATTCACTGCTCCAAGAACTTATGAAGTCCTACATTGTTTACTGAAAGCAATGATTCCCAAGCTTCACTCAAGGTTGTCCGTGCAACATCAGTTTTGAGACATCGAAAAATGGACGCTTGTCTCTGGAGTCGGATCAGTAGTAGACTGAGTTTCTAGCATTACCTACCATCCAAGATATGTTCAATAAATACATTAGGTACCTGATGAAGGTCGATGAGAATAATAACATTTAATTGTGAAGATTTACAGGAAATATATACCTATGGTTCAAAGCCATCAGTGTCCTTATCCTTGGAACAGGGGAGAAGCGTTCCCAGGAGAACAAGTGTTCCGTCTGTGTTACTTATATTATCATTTCCATATCATTGAGAGATACAGAACAGTCGTTGTCCTGGGAACGTAGCAATCCTGTTCCAAGAATAAGGATCCAGAGGGCTTTCTGGAACATTTTGAATGCCCTGATAGTAAGCAAGCCAAGACAGAACAAGAACAAGAAAGTTTACGTTACCTACTCGAATTTTGTTTGCACATCATATATTTTTCTTACTTGTAAAACCGTTTGTACCCAGACTTTATTCAGCACTTTGGATACTAAAATTATGTATGTATGAATCGTTTTAATCCAAATGAAAATTATAAAGGTTGTGGGTCCTATAGCCTTAATATCAACCATCCACCAACCAGCAGGTGAGTGAAAGGATACCAACATATAATTAATTATTTTATAACATAACATCGAACATGCATTTAATTGATCGTGATGGCAGGATATGTGCCTCTACACACAATACCGTGTAGCCCGACCTCGCAATTTATTAGAAAACAATATCGGTAAATTACTGCTATTATTTGCTGCGAGCCTCTTGGCCGGCTTGACACGACGATTGTTTTTAGTGTCTCCGATATTTTGTCTTATGAAACTAATATATTATCCTGCCGATGAGAACTTGTTTGTTTATGTAGTTATAGCCACGCCATTTTCGACGCCCAAAAAAGGCAAATTTTAATAACCGCTTTTGAATAATGCAAATATGGAAAAATTAAAACAGCGGACCTCACACAACTGCATAATATTATGCAAAAGAATTATTAATTTCGAAAAACATCTGCATATTATTTTGAGATCCAGCACTCATCAAAACCATTTACCAGGCAACAATGCCGAGACGTTTATCGCATAACAAGCGTAACAGCGTGACGTTCAATATTCGATATTGGGAAATTAATGATGATCAATGCCGGGGCGGTGCTAGACGTCAGGTTTGTTGATTATTCCCAACAGATATGCCCGCTAAACACACACCTTCCACCCAGGTACAATATTTCAATTTACTTTCGGTTATCTAGATCCACCAGAGTGCCTGTTGTGTGCAGTGCGAAACCAATTCTATTCTTTGGCATTTTTTTTTTTGGTTTTAGTTTTTCATATGATTCTTTTGAAATTTTTATTATTTTGCAAATTTTTTCCGGTTTTGTGTTTAAATGATCATTTCGGATACCCGAACTCCATACCTACATTAAATTATTGTCACGAATTCCGGGTTCACTAAAACTTACTAACACACTTGGGATTTATCTAGAAAAACCTGGCGCCATTCTTGAATGGAATTCTCCGAATTGTTTACGTGCAAACCCAGCCGCACTGGGATCTAGACACCCACCCGAGGCAACCAAACTCCGAGGTAGCCTCTTACTCAAGGATCCGTCATGATGGGAATCCAGAATACGCACTTGGATAAATATGGGAACATAAAATTTTATAATTTTTTCCAACCACTATAATGTTGCCATTTATTCGGGACAAAAAAAGGATAGCGATTGTTATTGCTATTCTACTTATCAACGAAATCGATACAGATAGATATGTTTATCGCTAGGTACTTGTTACAGAATCCCAGCCCAGATTCATCTTCCAGTATTCGCCCATCTTGCCCCAAGATAAATAATTTTAACTTCATAATGCTCAAACAGCTCAATTCATTTCAAAATTCTCAAATAAATTATTATTATTATTATTATTATTATTAGAAAAATTTATGAAAGTATGTCACACGACGAACTTTTTATTAAGAAAATAAAACCATGGGAATAGCAAAATTGAAATCGCTCGTTAAGGACTCGCGGAATTCAGACGGGGCATAAATCAAAGTACCGCGTGATCCTGCGCCACCAACAATATAGTAATTAATATCGACCCACGAGTGCATTAGTATCGAAAAATAAACATTTGATAATCTGTAATTATAGACGGGCGCACGGGTTATCGGATCATCTCGTTCGCATAGTACCGCCGAGTACCGGACTCACGAGTTTTGCTCGTAAATTTTCCGGAAACGTTGCCCTGTACGACGTGCATTACGTGTACTGGCGCGTTTTAGAAAAAATTCTGGCAGCGTGTTATTTACTTTGTTTGGTTAATCATTTATATTTTCTTTGGCCTAACTGGGACGCAACTGTTAATGTCTTGTTTAATAAATCGATGCAAAATTTATCAAACAAATTCAATTTAAAAACTCAGATATCAAAATAGTACCAGTCCGTGGCCCGCATCAATTACTGCGTCGGAGTACCATATCAAAGCGACCGACTGCGATACGGCTCGGCAGTTCTAGTAACATTTAGCCAGTTCATGTTTACAAAACTGCTAGTACTCTGGTCTGGCAACCAACCGACAACTTATAGCACTTTTGCGCATTAAATTGAAGGACTGACACTGAAGTGAGGTACCGGGTGAGATTAAAGAGTACCTATGCATTTGAAATAAGATATACACATGTGAGATTATAATGAAACTTATTCATAAAAATTTCGTCACTAATTTGAAACAAGATATTGCAGAAAATATTTAGCCAACACTACATAAAGCTAAGGATGATCTTCAAAAGTCAAGCCAAAATATTCAGAAATTTCCAACACAGCTGAGTAATACCAGAGCAGTGTGCGGATCATGGTATGGAACCATTGTTGCACTATGAGATCCTACAATAGATGCTATTCAGATCACTCCTGCAATGAATCAACAATGTCATCATTAGAAACTAGAATTGTATTTTGGAGATCCTTGCACTCAGTCAACATTTAGGACTCAAAGTAATTCAACGATTCAGAAAACTAGCGAGAGTTTACCTGAGTTTGAAGAAGAAATACAGGAATGAATCGCAGTTTGATAGGCTCAGAGATTCGAGAAACTAGAATCACTTAAAAAAATCCTGATTTGAAAACAGCAGCGACGTTTTGGGTTCTGGTCCATAATTGGTATTAAAAGCTTTAGTGCTTGACAACTTGAAGTACTAGCAGTATACATAGGTGGCTCAAAGGACCATCAATTACTGAATGAAGAATGTTTTTGGTAATTGGACAGAATGGGTACGAATTCAATCAAATACAAACACCAAAATGGAGTACCATAATAAACGAGATGTTAAGGGAAGAATGTCAAGTTCATCTGGGTATCGTTCCGAACGATTCTCGACATCCAGAAATGGCAGCTCTAATAAACGGGAGAGAAAACGAGGACTAAACCAAAGTTCCTAAAGTTAACAGGTTGTCTGGGTAATTTGATGACGCATCTGTGGGGTGCCTTATTCAGATTTGTGTTGTGTAGTAGCACCCCAGATGACGTCATAAAGTTATCAGGCAACCTACCGCTTTCAAACAAACTTGGACTACACTACACAGTGTAGAGGTGCGAATGCTAGGGAGTAAAGACCACGTCCGAAGATAGGAAAACGATGTAATCTGTATAATGGAGTGCAGTTTTGAAACGTATCTACTTTATAATTTAAAAAAAAAATCATGAGCAGCTACGTACACGTGGTAGAAGTGAAACTTCTTAAAAACTATTTCCCCTTATAGGTACAACTTTTAGACTTAGCGTATTAGTCTAGGTAGGGACGAAGAAAAACGTGCATCTATAGTGACGTCACAAGGGTATCGGTGCTTGACAATAATAGTTTATATTCCTTGGTTTGTGTCAATCGTTCGTCGGTTGTCATCGGTTGTCATCGGCTGTCTTTCTCCGTCTCTCTACGTTACATCTTTTTTCTCTCTCGTGTAACGAATTTTGCCAAAGACGCGTCACGTGTCTTTCAAATCAATCTCCATTCTCATCCAAATATTAGACCGCCGCGCCGGCGCCGCCTGAGAAGTTCCACTTCAAAAAGCACAGGACACAAATGTATAAATACGAAAATAATCACAAAACCAATGATAGTATAACAAGAAGGGAAGCGCGCATCTGTAATGACGTCACAAGGGTATCGGTGCTTGACAGTAATAGGCAATTGTCTTTGCGCTTATAATTCTTGATTTGTGGCGATCAATAATGGCTGTTTTTCTCCGTCTCTAATATCATTTTGGATAATATTTTAATAATTTTAATATACACACATAATGACGATTTACAAATATAATCAAAAAAATCACAACACACAAATGTATAAATAACGAAAATAATCACAAAACACAATAATAATAGTATAACAAAAGGGAGACGCGCATCTGTGATGACGTCACAAGGGTATTGGCGCCTGTCAATAATAGGAATTTCTCTTTGCGCTTATAATCCTTGGTTTTTGGCAATCAATAGCTGCCTTTCTCCGTCTCTTCACGTTATATCTTTCTTGTATCTCGAGTTACGAAATTTGCCTGTGACGCGTTTTTCAAATCACTTTCTATTGTCTTCCAAATATCAGACCGCCGCCTGAAAAGTTTCACTTCAAAAATTATTTGACTGCATGCAAAAAATTGTATAATTAATCAAGAGCCAGTAATAATCAAAATAATGGTGTCAGTGATAGATGATAGATGGCGCAAGCAGCAGAAACAGGTGGGGGTTGTCTGATATGCGCAACATCTATTACCACCTCAACTGGACCGCTATCGCTATACCAATTTGATGAACATGCTATGGGATCCGCAATGGTTTTGGTACTTTTGACCGTCACCATGAAAATTGCAAGAAAAGCCAGCGAATGCCATCTTCATCTCTATCCCGGTTTCATAGTTTATGAGAAGAAATTCGATATCTATGAGCTATATAGGCCATAGATCATTTACAATAGTCGAAATCATACCTAAAAACTCTCAACACAATATGGAGGTTCAAGTCGGATTAAAGAACTTCAAAAAACTGGTGAAAGTGAAAAGTTTCCCTATAAAATTGTAACAGACGCGGCTCTGTGTCATTTGCACGACAGCCATTTGCGCGAGGGTGAAAAGCGCGATACGAAAAGCGCGAGGAAGAAAAGCGCGACGGAACAAAAACGCGATAGGACAAAAGCGCGACAGAACAAAAACTCGACTGGACAAAAGCGCGATTGACAAAAACGCGTCTGGAGGAAAGCGCGTTGGACAAAAACAAGACTAGACAAAAGCGCGAAGAACAAAAGCGTGAGGGACAAAAGTGCGACGGAGGGACAAAAGCGCGACGGAGGGACAAAAGCGCGACGGAACAAAAACGCGACTGAAATAAAGCGCGATGGACAAAAACGCGACTGGATAAAAGCGCAAGAAACAAAAGCGCGACGGAACAAAAATGCAAATGAATAATAACCCGGTTGGTTTCAATTTTAATCGGACATTTCCAAACTTACCCATAATAACCCGGCTAGTACGCAATTTTAATCAGACATTACCAAACTTACCGATAATAACCCGGTTAGTTTGCCATTTTAATCAGACATTTCCAAACTTACCCATAATTACCCGGAGTTCACCATTTTAATCAAACATTACCACACTTACCGTTAATAGCCCGGTTGGTTTGGGTTAGTTAGCAGTTTTAATCAGACACTACCAAACTTACCGATATAATAACCCGGTTAGTTGGTAATTTTAATCAGGCATTACCAAACTTACCGATAATAACCCGATTAGTTTGGGTAAGTTTTCAATTTCAACCAGATATTACCAAACCCACCGATAATAATCCGGCAGGGATTAGGGGGTGACCAAAGTTCAGTCGCGCCGGTTATTATCGGTGAGTTTGAAAATGTCTGAATAAAACGGCAAAGTAACCGGGTTATTATGGGTAAGTTTCGAAATATCTAATTGAGATTGAAAACTAACCGAGTTAGTGTATCGGTAAGTTTGGAAATGTCTGATTAAAGTTTCAAACTAACCGGTTATTATTGGTAAGTTTGGAAATGTCTGATAAAAATTGCAAACTTACCAGGTTATTATGGGTAAGTTTGGAAATGTATGATTAAAATTGCAAATTGATCGGGTTATTATCGGTAAGTTTGATATTGTCTTTAAGTCCATTTGCATTTTTGTTCCTCGAGTTTATGTCCCTCGCGCTTTTATTCAGTCGCGTTTTTGTTAATCGCGCTTTTGTCCAGTCGTGTTTTTGTTCCATCGCGCTTTTGTTCTTTGTTTTTTTTTCGCGTCGCGCTTTTGTCCCACGTGCTTTTGTTCCTCGCGCTTTTGTCCAGTCGCGATTTTGTCCATCGCGCTTTATTCTAGTTGCATTTTTGTTCTGTTGCGCTTTTGTCCCTCGCGTTTTTGTTCCGTTGCGCTTTTGTCCCTCGCGTTTTTCTCCATCGCGCTTTCGTCCAGTCGCGTTTTTGTTCCGTCGCGCTTTTCTCTCTCGCGCTTTTCGTATCGCGCATTTCTCCCTCGCGCAAACGGCTGTCGCGCAAATGACACAGAGCCGCTACTATGTTATGACTCACTTGACAAAATCTGGGATTGTCAATTTTAGCAAATTTCCACACCTCTATGTACCACGACATCCATTGTTTGTCCAGGCGAAGTTGAGAGTTAGCCCTTTGGTTTGAGCTCGGCTGTTTTTGCTACAAAAAATACAAAGACATCAAAAATCCGAACAAGATAGGTGAAGACAAATTTGGGGTTGATTGAAAATAGATACCGAATATAAATCATGTTTATCCAGAATTATGTACCATAAAAAGATTCAAAATCTGCTAAAATAGCAACAAATTTTGTTACATTGGACAATCCCTCGTAGAAACAATCCGATCGATATAAACTTCAAAGCCCAGATCGTTTACATACTTCTAGTACCTTTACTGGTACTACCAGCGGACATTTAGCTCTACATTTACCAGTTTAATGGTACCATATGTTGGTTTTTGCAAACTGTTATGGGGTTTCTCCAGTCTTTGTCCGGCAGTTTATTGGTGTATAATCTTTATCCGATCCACTATATACGCCGAGACTCTAGTTTTAATTAATTCGAAATTGGAAAGATAAAAATTATTGACAGTCTTAATTAGTAATTATTGTTTTTCAATGGTCCATAAACAAATGGACGATTCCGCCCTCTTGTCATCTGTTAAACGCCTTTCTGCACAATGCGTGCCTTGCAAATTTAAAGTTGTATATCTTCATCTTGGACAGTGGCGGTGCAAACTCAACTTAACTTGACGTAATGTATAATTCATACATATTTAATGTAACCTTCTGGGCAAGTAAAGTGTATAATTTTCTTAACCTAAATGCGCACAGCCAAATAATGGTTCATTTACACAATTACGGTGAATTTTTTGATGAATTTTTAATGCAAAGAGCAAGAAAAATGTTTTTTGTATATAATTAATCAAAACTCATATAAAAGCGGAGAATGGTAGGTATATAGAAATTATCATTCAGTGAAGATGTATATGCCTAAAAAAGAAATTCCATTTTACTATGCATTAAAAGTTTTGCAATTTACCCATTTTTACCCTTTAATTAAAATAAATAATATAATATTTTATAATGCAGTTACATTTTTGTTTCGTGCAGTTATCGTCATGTTTTGGGCTGAGTGTCTTCTTCACAAAATCATGTCTATAAAAAGTGAGTTTAATACAATAATTGAGACTAATTTTTTTTTAAATCAATTTTCAGATAAATCCCCAGTGGATACAAGTGAAGATTTGGCAGGGTTTGTTACTTTTGTCAATTACTTGTACATTTGTTCTACCTTTAGAAATATTGCTGAAAAATATTCAAAATTGTTTTTTCAAATTACCAACACTGAATTTGGTATACCTCCAAAGATGAAATTGATGACTAAATATGCAAAAATTGGCACTTTGGCAATACTAATTTACGCTTCAATAGGTACTTTTGTTTATGCATTGGTAAAATATTTTATTGAATCTGGTAAGAATGGCAACTAAATTTTCAATTGCTATCAATTTAATATGATTTTTTAAGCACAATGCGAGGAGTTCAATGTGAAATATGGTCTTCATGAAATGTGTGTTCTTGCTCCGTTCTGGTGGCCTTTTGAAAATACCAAAACTCCTTGGCGTTATGTTATATGTTTTGTTCAAGTTTTTTCTGCAGGTATTGTTTGAAAATTTATATCATTAGCCCAAGAAATTTATACCTGGGCCGCAAAAAATTTTGCGAGTGCAGGCTGATTTTTCCAGGGCTGATTGGGTATTGAGCCAAAAAATCACACTCGAATCACACTTGTGCGTTCGGCCCTATTGGCCTTTTTCTTATTTATTTTTTTGCGACAAAATGACCTATACAAAACTTGTAGATAATTACATTCTGATCAACTTTGCTTCATGACTTTTTTTGCTAGCTATTTTACTTTAGGTGCTGCGGCCATTTTAGTGCTTCATAATTCGCAAAAAAATTAAATAGCAAACCTGCAGATTATTATACCTAATAAAATTCTCTATTACTACTAATAGACTATGAGGCATTAAAACCACTTATATTCTTATCATCTTGCTAGCCACATTCAGCCCTCAAAATGCCATGCAAAAAAAAATGACTCCACCAAACAGGCCCTATCTCAGGGTCTATAAGGATTTGACACATTTTGCAGGTGAAATGTGGCGTTTCGCGAAATTGAATTTCGCGGACGGTTGCACAATAGCTATTTGTGTATTAAGAGCGCAAAGTGGTACTTTGCCGATCGAAAGATAATGTTGATATTGGCAAATATCTTGAGATCGGCAAAAGGCACTTTTTGCTCGTAATGCACACTTGATTTTTTTCACAATCGCATTTGATAAAAAATAGTTCAGGTTCAAAGAAACCAGTAGTAAAAGCAAGCGCTTCTACTACTTTACCGCTCTACAGCGACAAAGTGAAGGATTTTGACGTAGTTTGACGCTTCAAAGCGGCAAAGTGGAGGTGATCAGGAAACGTCTACTTTGTGAACACAAATCCAATCGACAAAGTCTACTTTCCAGGCCGATTGTAGAAAAAAAAAACATTTTTTCTACTGACGTTTCATAATAGCAACTTTTCGATTGTCATTTCAGTTTTGAAACGACATTCTTTTAGGCACTGAGTGCGTGAAAGTTACTTTTAGGCACTCAGTGCGTAAAAGTGACTTTTGAATGCGTAAAAGTGACTTATGAGTGCGTAAAAGTAATTTTTAAGCACTAGTGCCTAAAAGTGTCATTCATTATTCAGAAATAAAAAACACACTAAACACATATTTTAATTTTGTTTTGTATTTATTATGAATATTGAAAATGGAATTACTGAATTGAACGTTTGGGTTACTCAAAACAGAACTTTGTGTTATTACCTACCTACTTTCTAGGATTTTAATTATTGATGTCGAATTTTGAAAAGAAAATCGCATGAAAAGTGTCAGGTGTCAAGTAAAAGCAGGTAACAAAGATTTTGGGTGTAATCGACTTATTCACATGAAATAAAATTGTGTTTTTTTATTATAGTAGTAGAAAAAATCTTGTATACAATACGTTACGAAACGATGTCTTTTAGTCACTCGACGTGTTGTCCAACTCGGCTTTGCCTCGTTGGACAATTTTCACGTCGCGTGCCTAAAAGACGCTCATTTCGTAACTTATTGTATAAATAGCTATTGTCATTTTCCAAACAGGTAACAGGTCCCAGTTATGTCAAAAAAAAAAACATCATTCCGATTTCACGCTTTCACTCCGGGAAAATGATTTCACCGGATCAGTGATGTAATGTATCATTTCCTGGACCGAAACCGATAACGTAATGGAGTACATTACCAGTAATTTTATTAAAGTTACAATAATCTGCAGGTTTGCTATTTAATTTTGTTGCTAATTCTGGAGCACTAAAATGGCCGCAACGCCTAAACTAAAATAGCTAGCAAAAAAAAGGCATGAGGCAAAGTTGATCAGAATGTATGTATGTGTATGTATGTATGTATTGGAGGTGTCAGTAGCACTGCGACCAAGGTTGATCTATTGTACCCCTCCTTCTGCTGCTAGGTTCGGGTTTCCTGCTGAAAGCAGCCCCTCTAGTCCTAGGTCCTTTAGGCATTTTAGGATGTCTAGCGGTTCCAGGGCTGGAATGTCTTCCAGCTGTATAAGGGGACTTCCCAAGTTCTTCATTCTTGAGCGGCTTACGGCATCGCAGTTCAGTAGAAGATGGTGAGGTGTTTCTTCACCGTCTTCACAGAATCTGCAAGTGTTACCTTCTTCCAACCCCAGATTATGTAGGTGCTTATTCAGTCTGCAATGTCCCGAGAGAAACCCGGTTAGAGTTTTGAGACTTTTCTTGCTAAGGTTGACCAGCAGTTCAGATCTTTTTTGGTTGTAGCTACCCAGTAGATCTTTGGCCTGTCGTAGTCCTGGTTGGTCTAGCCATTGTTTGTTCCTTAGCAGGTTCTCTTCCTTTTTGAGGATTTTTTGGAGGTGCGCATTTCCGACGCTGCAGAATGGTTCTGGCCCAGTGAAGGGAGTGGCCGCTCCCGTTTTTGCAAGTTCGTCTGCGCATTCATTGCCCTCGACTCCTATGTATCCAGGAACCCAGAGTAGGGTTACTTTGTTTTCCTTCCCCAGCTCATTGAGTTACTGTAGACATTCCCATACTATCTTAGAATTGATTGCTGGCGAGCTCAATGCTTTGATAGCTGCTTGGCTGTCAGACATTATTACAATTTCTCGTTTTCGGTACCTTCTGTTCAGGTTTAACTGCACGCATTTTCCGATCGCATGAAGTTCGGCTTGAAATATGCTTGGTGATTTGCCCATTGGCTCCGAGTATCAGGTTCGTGGCCCGAATACTCCGGCTCCTGTCCCCTCAGCAGTTTTGGAGCCGTCTGTGAACCATTTGAGGGTGTTTGCTTTAAGGGACTGGATACATTCTATGTTCCATCTGTTCTTTGTACTTAGTTCGATAGAAAAGTTTTTCTCGAAACTGAATTTTTCAACAATCACGTCCTTTGGTAAGTCCATGAGGTGTGCACAGTTTGGGAGAGGGAAAGCTCTGCCAAAATGCGTTTTCCCTTGTAGACTTATCTTCGCCAGTCTTAGACATGATTCACTGGCAACCCGCTTCACTATTGTGTGAAGTGGTGTTAGGTCTAGGATGACGCGGTTGGGCATGTTCTCATTGCTCCTGTTATGCATAGACATGCGAGTCTCTGTACTTTTCCTAGGGTTTTTCTAGCCGTTACTAGCTGGGTTCGGCAGTACCAGGCTACCGCTCCGTAGGTGATGATAGGTCTCACCTCGGGTCTCACTATCATGGTATACATCCATCGTAGGATCGATGGGTTACAACCCCACGTTTTGCCGGCAATGTTTTTACATACCATGAGTGCCGAAATTGCTTTGTTTGTTATATTCTCTATGTGTCGGTTCCAAAGGAGTTTAGAGTCTAGGGTTATTCCTAGGAATTTAACTTCTTGTTTCCAGTGAAGCCTGCTCCCATCGAGGCGAATGTTCCTCAGGTATGTAGTGCAAGAAAGTTAGCCGGAAAAAAGGGCAAAGGTGGAAAAAATTCTTTACAAGCTATTCTCAGTGAAAAGTTACAGGGACGCGCTAATCCCAAAAGGCTTATCACTTATTAAGCCTCTCGTGTCATATGTGAGTAATGTACAGTGAGTTGTATAATCAGGTAAATTTTATTTTTTGAAAAATCTTGCAAATTATTAACTCCTTTTTGGTTTCTTCCTAAGATTCAAGAATGGACTGGTCGAAAGCCTATTCCTTTGGAGTATGGTTGGGAGAAGGATAACTAAGGAAGTCTTGTTCCAAAAAGGTGTACAAAAGAAATAGCCCTCCCCCACAAGATATTCTAAAAATGGTCTTTTGTAATTGTGAAGATGGAACTTGTGGTAAGAGCTGTTCTTGTATAAAGCTTGGATTAAAGTGTTCTTCTAAGTGGGGCCAATGTTTTGGTATCAGTTGTGGTAACAAATTATTAATACTTGAAGCCAACGAAGAAGAAGAAGAAAACTGTATGCTTGAGTAAACTCTCATTTCAACTCATTTGCTATCAAGCAACATTTTTGTGTGAAATTTGCATTTTTAATTTTTTTTATATATGTATCTTGTTCTTTGTTCTCAATAATAAAGCTAGTTTTCATAATGTCGTTAACTTATGTGACTAATTTCGCTTTTTAGATGTAGTTTTTCAAGCTCTTTAAAAAAGTTAAATTTTTATCAAAAAATGTCTAATTTCTGAGTTATTCGCGAAAAACTAAAAAACAAAATAACGGCCATATTTTTCTAACTTGCCATAACCGAATCTCATGAGACTTCTGGGAGTTTGTTCAGGACACATTTCTCTATAACTTGCCGCACAAAATTTTTTTCCTCTTTTGCTATTTTTCTTGCACTAATGGGAGTTTCGTTCTTTTTGTAAATGTTACCAGTGTGGCTTTTGATGAGTTAAGATTCAGTCCCACTGTCTGACACCATTCCTTCGTGGTTCGGAGTGCTTTTTCTATAAGGTCACAGAGTATTCCTTCGTGTTTGCCTCTAGCTATGATGACAATATCATCGGCGTAACCAAGGCAGTTGAAGCCCTGGTCTGTCAGTGTATTTAGTAGATCATCGACTACTAGACTCCACATCAATGGTGAGAGTACCCCTCCCTGTGGACATCCTCTCGTTGTGGTGACTTGTATGGTTTGTTCCTCCACATCCGTTTCTGCAGTTCTGGTGGCTAACGTTTCACACATCCAGGTGGATGTGGTTTTGTCCACTCTTTTTCTGACAAGCGCATTCTTTATTGACTCATGAGAGAGAGGCGTTATCGAAAGCCCCCTCTATGTCTAAGAAGACGCAGATGGCTACTTCTTTATTCAGCAGTGTGTTTTGAATGCTGCCAGTGAGTTCAAATAGAGCGGTTTCTGTTGATCTGCCTTGCCTAGGATGTAGTGGCGTCTTTTCTAGAACATTTATTCTGATATAGTTATTCAGATCTTTCTCAACTGTCTTCAGTAAGAACGACGTGAAACATATGAGCTGAACGACTTTGATAGAGTGGCATCCTTTCTCCCTGCCTTTGGGATAAAAGTTACTTTAGCTCGTCTCCATTGACTGGGTATGTATCCGGTCGCTAGGCTGTATCTAATGAGTTTGATTAGATACGGCATAATTTCATTTTGCTCTTTTTGCAACAGGGCTAGAAAAATACCGTCTACTCCAGGTGACTTGAACGATTGAAATGAGTCGATCGCCCAAGCCAGCCGCTGCGGAGTGCAAAGGTTCTTGGCAACCTCCCAGTTTTCTTGCCTAGTTTTTCTGAGCCGTTCTTTGTTTTCTTCAGTACCATTGGGTATACTTCCTGGAAAATGGGTTTCCAGTAGTAGAGCAGCTCGTTGCTCTTCATTTTCTGTATAACTGCCGTCTGGTTTCTTAAGTGTCAATGGCGCTTGCGCCCTGCCTTTTGCCAGGGTTTTGTATAGTCTGGCTGCTGATGGTATTTCTGTGATAGATTCACAGAAGTTCTGGAAGTTTTTCCGTTTGGCCTTCCTTAATTCTCTCTTGTACTCAGCCTTTCGGTGTAGCTCTGCCATTCTCCGTCCCGTTTGGCTCTGTTAAAGAGACAGCGAACCTCGGATCTAAGTCGTGACAGGTGACTATTCCACCATGGGCAACCTTTTTTGTTTACTTGTTCCTTCACAGGACAACTGGATTCGTATGCCTCTATGATTGCTCCTTCAAGGATTTGAAGGGTTTCTTCTACTTCACGTGTGTTCCTGCAGCTAACCTTATTTTGTTTGAGGTTGCGTTGCAGTTTGTTTGTGTATTCTTCCCAGTATGTGTTTCTATACGAGGCAGTTCGTTCCTCCACTCCTTTTACTTCAAGTATTATGATTCTATGATCACAGAGAGGGAGTTCATTCGAGACTCTCCAATTCCTGATCATTTGGTCAATATTTGGACTACAAAGTGTTATGTCTAACACCTCCTGTCTGACCCTAGTAAGAAATGTTGGTATATTCGCTACATTAAGTATATTAAGGTTTGTTTGAAAGATAAATTCTAACAGTTGCTCACCTCTTAGGTTTGTGTCGGTACTTCCCCAGATAGTGTTGTGGGCGTTGGCGTCACAGCCAATTAGGGGCGGTAGTTTGTTCCTGTTGCAGTACTCGACTAGTCTCTGTACTTCTTCTGGTGGTGCCTGCCCATCTCCAGCGAAGTATCCTGATGCCAGTACTAGGTCGTGGTGTGGTGGGTCGGTGATAAGTTTAACCCGAACCGTAACCAAGTCCCGTGACGTAAATTCTGAAAGACATAAATGATTAATATTTTCATTCAGGAGAATGCATGCTCTAGGATCGTTACACCGACTGTCCCACATTATTTTTACCCCTTTACTTGACAGACCTTTGATCTGCCCCTTGTGTATCCAAGGTTCTTGGATTAGTACGGCTCCCAAGTGTGCTGACGTGAACAACCGCGCTATGGCAGCAGATGCTCCCTTAGCGTGATGCGCCTTCACCTGGGTTAATGTGGTGTAATTCGCCATCTTACCTGTTATTGTTGTTTCTGGTGTGGTGGAGTGATGACCTCCTAATCGCCCAGAAGCATTTTTTCTTTCTCACTGGGCACTTCCTCTGCCGGAGTGAGAGTTTTCTCCCCCTCATCAAGGCCTTCGTCCTCTTTCCCTTCGTCTTCTTCTGAAGGAGACTCCGGTTTGGATTCCGAGGAGGTGGGCTCCTCCGGTTCCTCGTTTGTTTCTTCTTTACCCTTTCTCTTCTTTAGGCCGTGTACGGGGATTTTCCCGAACCTATAGAAGAGGTTGTACCCCATTTTCTTAATGGTTTCGCAGGACCCATCGTCTATGCCGATGTTGAGTAGCTGGCCGTTACCCTCGTCCTTGCAGCCCATTACTTTCCACAGCTGAGTGCTAAGCACTTCGTTTTGGGTGTTCATCAGGCTTAGGAATTTTAAGGGGGTCTTGCCCTTTACTTCTTGGGAAGAAGACTGTGATGGTGTGCGCCTTTGGGATGTCGTCTCCCAGGCATACCATCAGCTCTCCTCCCTGCCAGGTTTCCAACCTGGGGACGTGTTCTATCAGCCACTCAACTGTTTCTTTGGTGAGGCAATCAATCACCAGCATGCTTGGTCGGAAATGTATGCCCCCAAATTAGAGTTTATAAAAATAAATACGAAAAAGGCCAATAGGGCCGAACGCACAAGGCTTTCGAGTGTGATTTTTTGGCTCAATACTCACAGTCTCCAATCAGCCCTGAAAAAATCAGCCTGCCCCCGCAATTTTTTTTGAAAAAAACATAAATTTCTTGGGCTACATGTACCTACCTACCTACCTAAACTTTTTTTTTTGTAGAAATCGCCACTACTTCTACTGCAGTTGTGATAACTATGCCTTGGGAAGCAGCTCTGATAATCAAATCTAAAATTCACCATTTAAAAGATCAGTTTAGACAAGTTTTTGATTCGAATGATCCAGTATTACGTAGAAGGCGCTTGAGATATTGCATCCAGTATCATCAGCAAATTATAAGGTTTCATGATTTTCTTCCAAAATTTATTTACTTTAATTTTTTTTTGTAGCATGACTAACATCTTGAATGAAGTTAACAACAAAGTGGCCGGTCAAATGTCATTTGCTGCCGCTTTGATAATGAGTACTTTAGCTAGTCAGTTGTTAGAGGTACCACACCAGAAGTAGCTTAGGAATTACTAATGAATTACATTTCCAGGTTTATTCTATTGCAGCTGCCCTACATCTTTTCGGTTACATGTTGATAATATATTTGATTTGTGAGATTGGCCAATCAATGCAAGACGAGGTAACTTGCTCAAACATTTTCTAAGCTTCATCTGATGTATTATTTTAGACTTACAACATTCAGGACGCTATAAATGAATCCGATTGGTTCAAAGATCCAATATTGGTCAAAGATCTGCAGCTGGTATTACTTCGGTGTCAGAAACCAATTTACATGGAATCGGTTTTATTGGGCGCTTTTAATTACAGCCAACTAATTATAGTGAGTGAAAACGTCAATTTTAAAAGGGAAAGTAGTACCTGTCTAAAAAAAAAATTAATTTACCGCTCAATTAATACATGAATATCATTAAAAACAATATTGTTTTTCCAATTTCAAAATTTCCTATTGGAAATCAAATTTACCAATACTTTTGGCTGTAGTCAAAACTTTACATTGTCCCTTTAATTAAACTATATTTGCTTGTTACAGATAATAAAAACGGCTTATTCCTATTTCACTTTACTCTCCAGAAAATAACGAAACTGCTCTTTTATTGGATTCCGAAGCAAATTAGGTATGCTCAATGCCAACAGCTTTACTTAGATATGTAGTGTAATAAAGTTAAAGTTCGGTTTTTGTAATATTTCAATTACCTGTTTAATCACTATTTTGCTTATACCCAACATACCTGAAATATGATCAGTGTTTGGTTTTTGTAGAAAACTCATTTGTTTCATTTAATGCATGCAAACACATTGTTGGACGACCATGAAAAATGTTTGTGACAAGAAGTTCAATAGAAATATGATAATACAATATTTTTTTTATTCGCCCACATGATCCATAAACTTTATTTTATAATGGTTCTTTTAACAAAAAAAAACTTGGTCAGTTATGGAACCCAACGTATACCATAAATATAAGTTTTGTTGGTCGTTTGCCCGTAACTTCTCTAATTAATGGGTGCTGATATTGGAGTGAGGCCTTTTTTTAATTTCCGAACCGCTCTGGGATGGTGCTGTACCGGTTTGGACAGTGTCAACTTGCAAATTTAGTGCACGAGAAATTAAATTCTCTCGGATCAGTGGCGTGGCAAACATTCACAATCAGTATTCCTGTCATATATTATTATTGTTATGCAGATTTTGACCAATGAAGCGCATGACCAGTCCCCATTGTTGTCCATTTCAAAGAATTATCGTCTCATAAAGAAGCTGTATGTGCCTATCAAAGGTATCATCTTGACGCCTCACAGAAGTTGAGATCGACTGATAAGCTAAAAACAATTTATTATGTTTGCCATGCTGAGTCAAACCATGGCAGGAGTTAGACGATATGTTTTAATCTATTCATGGGATTATAAATAAAAAAAACAATCAATTATTTTCAGGTCTAAGTTTGTGCCTGGTAATATTTAGTTCTGGGCTGGTGGTAAAAAACTCCATTACAACAGTGAACACGCATAATACTAAAGAAGCAAAACACTTCGGTCAATAAAGAATGACTTAGAAAAACGCTCGTGAAGTTAACGAGCCACATTTCTTGGGGGTTATCATAAAATGTCCTATCATTTTAACGATTCCAAGTTGTATAGCGCGTGGCATTTTAACCAACGGAAAGGTTCGTACTTTTTGAAAAAAAAAATTTCAATGAGTGTGGTGTGTTTGTGGATCCTAACCAGTTTTTCCAGGATACATTTTCATTCTCCAAATATATGAAGAGGCTATGATGACTAGACGCATATTCAAAAAAAACATCCACGTTGGCCTAACTGGCCACAATTTTTTAGGTACTCAGGAGTTTTGCTTTCAGGAAGCTCCATGTTTAATTGATGATCTAACTAACTCAACCACTTGCTGTAGTGGAGAGTTTCCAACTTATTCTTGGGTCTGTGGAGGAATTGTTCCTGCATTGAGTTATATTCCATTAGACGTCTCAATATGATAAATTTATCATTTTCATAACATGTTCCATTTCTTAACTTTCATTATAAAGTTGTATTTTTGCCATTTCAAAAGCAGCAACATAATAATTCATAACTTAAGTAATTTAAAAGTATCTACAAAATTTAATTAGTTCAATATAATATCAGTACTGCCATCTATCCATAATGAGCATACAAATTCAAATATCAAATATTATTAAAACAAGGTACCGCCATCTAGTACCTGATAAATTTATTTTTTAAAATATGATTTTTATTATTTCTCATTGACAGTCACTCGTATTTTCATTCAAAAAAATTTAATTTATCTCACTTTTAGCAAATAGATACATTTCTGTCTTTCTCTAACTTTTGATTCTAAAATAATTATTTTTGGCTAATGACCTAATTAGGATGTGGTCCGAATATAACCAGGGTTGTGGTTTCGCGGTCCAAAAGTAATCAAATTACTCTGGTTCCTGGAAAAGTGGTTACTTTTGGACTTCGGTTTCCTGAAATCTGGTTAACAAAATGTCAAAATGGTTACTGGCCATCGGATGTCGGTTCTGTTGGTTCTATCTGTAATTTCTATCAATAGTTTTTCATTTAGCATTCCAAGTAACCGGAATTTTCAGTAATTATCTGTCAACCGATTCGGTTACTTTGGTTAACGTTTGGTTATATTCGGACCATAGCCTTAAGTAGTGGTTTTTTGTTTTCAACATAACCCTAATTTAAATTATTGTAATTTGTAAACAATTTAAATGATTCTACTGTGTTTTTATCTATTCCCTTTTGATCAACGTGGTTTTTCATTGATGAAGTGAGCACGGTCTTTTGTGTGTGTTGAGTGTTGTCTTCTGATTGGTTGATGGTTACTACGCAGTTAAGTATAAAAAAACACAAGATTGGTTTCCTGCAGGATTTATATTCTAAAACGCTCTCTTTTCATTATTGTAATTTTTTCCTTCAGATTTCTTTTTTTTTCCCTTAATAATTTTTCAATTTATTTTACCATTAGTGTATCATATCACTGTTGAGTTTTTACCTGATAAATCTTATTTTATCTACCTTTAAAATATAAACATTATATTTTAATTTTTTTATCTAATTGTGTGCCTCCATTTTGTGATTGGTGGTCCCACGTTTTTCTGAAGTGAGACAATTCAGAGTTTTGGCTAATAAATAGGTACTGCGGCTTTGGTTTTCGGAATCAGTTGTTAGTGTGGGATTATTGGACCACTTGGTCTAAATAGAGTCGGTGCAAACCAAATTTGTGTGTCCATCCCTATCAACTCTTTACTGAATCCAGGCAGAGACCGGTATAGCCATTGTCTGTTTTGGCCAGTATAGCCATTATTCTTTTTGAACGAAAGTTTTCAATGAGTCTGGTGTGTTTGTGGATCCTAACCAGTTTTTCCAGGATACATTTTCATTCTCCAAATGTATGAAGAGGCTATATGATGACTAGGCGTATATTCGATAAAACATCCATGTTGGCCTAACTGGCCGCAATTTTTCAAGTACTCAGGAGTTTTGCTTTCAGGAAGCTCCATGTTTTATTGATGATCTAACTAAGTTAACCACTTGCTATAGTGGAGAGTTTCCAACTTTTTCTTGGGTCTGTAGAGGAATTGTTCCTGAATTAAGTTATATTCCATCAGACGTCTCATTGGTTGTAGGTGTAGAAAGAAGTAAGTTTGGCCAGCTAGGTAGCTTTGGATCAGCTTGCAAGTCATTGCTTGGTATCCAGCCAATCTCGATGCTCATTATGAGACCGTGCAATGGTGGATGTTTCTTTTGAGATACTCTGGTACCTACTCCTCTCATGGCTTTCCATAGTCTTGTGATATACTCCACATTTCTGATGCGCTAAAAAATTCAAGACGGCAAGGTTTCAACAGTTCAGTTCCAACTGCGCAGAGTAATGGATTACTGGGATGTTACCTATCTTGTCTTGGAGCCTTTGCTTATAGCTGCCCTACCTTGTAGGGCGCTTTAGCAGATTTTCCTCTGGTCAAAGGCTCGCTCCGTCAAAAGCTATATTTTGCATAAAATCGCATGACTCATGATAAAATCGCAGTGGGCTGCGATATTTAAAAAATCTCAAAAATGTCCCGAGGTACTAAGGTACTCTTCTAAACTGAAAACCAAAAATCTACTCAACCCTCCCTCCAGCAGAATGGGGTGAACCGTGATGCGTAGTTTATTTGGTATTTTCAATTGAAGATTTTGGACACAAGAGATAAGATATTACTTTTTTCTCCTAACTGCATTTATTATTAGGATGTTTGTTATTGTGTTTTATTATTTATTCCATTTTTAATTTACTGTGCAAGTTCCCTATTGGGAGAATCTTTTTTCAGGGATGGATGATTACAGATTAAAGAAGAAGAAGCTGAGCAGCTGAAAAAAATACACCAATGACATTTTAATCAGGAGAGGAATCAGAGGGAACCGATATTATAGAAATTTTCTGATGTATAACATAATAATCCAGGAGGCAGTGAAATTTTTTCGCACTTATTTTCCCAGTTGGTGTATATTAATAGTTTGTTCTCTTGGTTATACAAAACAAGAATATTTGAGTTTCGCAAAAATTTTCGGATGGGTTCACAAGATCAATGAAAAATACAAGTACACTTATTTTCCCAGTCATTAATATTTCATATTCACTAAAACAGAACATAAAGTATATGAAAACAGCAATTTGGCTTATCTCAGATAGTGGAAAGTAAGTCTGGCTGAAATTTTTCGGATCTTCAATTTTTAACTTGCCAGAAGTATTATCCATACAGATTAGCCGAACTATCTTTTTACGTAACTTCAGTATACTTTTCATTAGTAGACTTATTATCACTGAAAAAAAAGGGCCGTGGCATCGGAAGACCACCCCCCTAAAAATATATGAATTTTGCTTAAAATTACTAACCCTACAATTCTATCCATGTTGTCTGACTGGGAAAATCGTCACTGCCTCCTAGACTATAATAATAATATGTGAAAATTATCTTGTAAAACAGAAAGACCATAGATGGAACTCAAAACTAAAACAATAAAAACCATATGCTGAGGACAAATCAAACAACGCAGATTATGGATGTGATGGAACACTGGATAAGTGGCTCTAAATAAATTTCGCTGGCCAGAATTGGGAGAATATTTTTTCCAGAGACAGATGATGACAGATTAAAAAAGAAGAAGCTGAGCAGCTGAAAAAGAACAAGTTGTTGTGATGTATGACATAATAATATGTGAAAATGATCTTGTTAAACAGAAAGACAATAGATGGAACACACAACTAATACAATAAAGATCATATGCTGGGCAAATCAAAGGCAGACCATGGATGAGA